GAGACAGAGAGAAGCAGAGAGGGTGTAAGAGAGAAGGACGGAGAGAGAGGGAGTGGGAGAGGGAGTGAGAGAGAAAGAGAGAGAGAGATAGAAAAAGAGACAGAGACAGAGAAAGAAAGAGAGGAAAATTCAAGTCAAAACACCTCACGGAAGCTCACGCATTTCCTGAAGATAAGCCCTAGCCCTCAGTAATTCACTTATGACAAGTTTAAGAGGGTAGATTAGATACCACTACAACAGCAAACAACAACAACAACAACAACAGCAACAACAACAGCATCAGCCGCATTTCACACCTGCACAGAATTCTATTCCTCACCCACACCCACACACCCACACACACATACACACCAACACACACACATAGACACGCATCCACCCACCCACCCACACACACACACACACACACACACACACACACACACACACACACACACACACACACACACACACACACACACACACACACATAATGACGGTGTTCGTCTTTCGCAGGCGAAGATGACCTTGACTTCAAATCAATGCGGAGATGGCTGATCATGCCTATCTTCACCCGAAAATATCTGTTGCAGTGCGGGCAGAGGGTGCTTGAGACGGAACTAGGCTGGGAGATGAGTCTCTTTCGGTCCTTTTCTGCTGACGTCTCTATTCTTTCCTTCTGCGTCTCTCTTTGAACTCAGCAACTCAATATCGTAATAAGGTGCACCATACAATGCGACCTTGAGCAGATCCTTCCCAGATGGTATGGGGAATGTCCCATCGTTCTAGGGATGCCTTCAGAGTATCTTCGTGGCATTATTTTTCTTCGCGCATCTACAATAAGCGTTGCCCAAGATGTGGACACTCAGGATTGTCCTTTAAAAACATTCTTTGCAAAAGTATGTGAAATTAAAGTAACGTAAAAGTGTCCACATGCTTGTATTTGAGTATATTAACATTGGTGGAATGGACATATATTGTATATCAAATGAGTGAAGAATGTTGTTGTCTCTACAATAAACGATGTTCAATTACGATATTTTCAGACATTGAGAAACAGAGCAGCCACAAATACCATGCAAAACGTGGACTTAACGTCAAATGCACTCATTAGTGTTTTGTTTAGAAACCTTTTGTTTCTTGTGGAGCTCAACCCTTTTTGAGCTTGTACTATGTTAGTTAGATGTTGGGCATACATTCTCTGAGGAACTACGAAACTGCCATGGTTTGTTGTGGCCTGGTTAGAATTAACAAAACCCAAACCGTGAGAATCAACGGACGGCTTCGTTTGGATGACTACATGGTGCAAGTGCTGAAACGTCTCGTCATATCCTTATCTTCGTCGTGGTGTCATTAAGGGAGACATATTTATGCGGAGCAAAGCACCTTCTCACGTGACCAATGCTTCTAGACAATTCTTGGAAAAGCAAATCGTACCAACGAAAGAGTGGCCTTCAGTAAATTATAGCACCGATATGAATCCTACAGGTCTGTGGGGCCCCATAAGACAGTAACTGAAGAAACGCAGCAATGCTCCCAGTCAGACGCTTTGTTTTCAACTCTCTATGATATGTGGGATGAAATGACAGATAACTATGTCCAAAATTTAACACAGTCCATACCCAAAGGCTCTATGCTCTACACAAAACATGTGTCTCCTACACAAATTTACTAATGAGCACACGTAGGTCTCATGTTAAGTCCATGTTTTGCGTGGTATTTGCGACTGCTCTGTTTTCCAGTCTGTTCAAAATTACAGTAATTCATAAAGAAATATCGTTTATTCCTGTCAAAAGGCTTTCCATTCATTTGATATGCATTTCATATCAATTCCACCAATGTTGCACCCAGGGGCGAAGGCTGACTTGTTTGACAGGGTAATCAAAGTGAAATGGGACCATATAAGGCCTAGAGATATCACACTCACACAAGTCAGAAGAATCTTACTGGCACTGGAGGCGGCAATTCTGAGTTGTGAATGAAAACAAATCCTGAATTCATGTTGTATGCTTGTTCAACCGCTAAAATAATCGGGAAAGTATTTCATTAAATATTTATTCTAGCTAACCTTAAATTTAACTTTAGATTTGAACACACGAACACCAAGGAAAGAAGCACAGATGTCAGCACTACAGTGGCATGTTATACCAGACAGCCGAAACACTTTGGTAGAGCACGCCAATTATTAATTTTTTATTTCATATTTGGCTGTTTTTTGTCTAGCTTTTCGCGGCCAGGAGCCGCTGTCATAATCGAGGTCACGATCTGATTATAGGTCGTTAAAAAGTCGAGGAAAAAAACAAGCACTAGCAGTGTAGTAGCAGGAGTCAAAGGATTATTAGGAGTTAGTTCCCCTCACATCTGTGAGGTAGACTCGACCAGTGTAATAGTTCGCTTAGATAATCAGCGCGTCTGGGTGCTTATAACTGTGGCCCGAAAGGGGTAAACAGGGTATAATATGCGACAATGAAACAGTTCTGACTGCTATGCACATGTTCCCTTCAAATCTATTGGTTGACTCTTCCAGCCTCACTTTAAGCAGCTTACTTAATCAAAGCTTGTGACTGCTTATGGAGTGGCCCGATAGGGGCGAACAGGCTATTTCTGTAGCAATGAAACGGTTTTGAAGGTTAGACATAGTCTATTGTTCATTGGTGATTATGAACGTCTTTTTACATTTAATTTATGAGGTTTACGTCTATGGGTGAATTTGACTGCGACAATGTTTCAAAATTAGGAAGGGAAGCAGTGATTATTTGATTATATAGACGCTTCGCCTCTGGTTGCACCTCGATACACGCGCAAGCACACTTTTAAGTTTCTTTGATTTTATAGAATTTTGTCAAGTCTTATATTTTAAGGTAAATTTTGAGTGACTCGGGTGGCTCTCATTATAGATGAAACTTTAATATGTCAGAGGGTGCCGAATTTATTTAGCTTTAAATTGGTATGCTACATGAGCAGATAGTGTAAGGCTGTTTCATACTGATTAGGTGGATACATTTTCAAGTTTCTTTTGGACGCCAGTGTATATGCAATGTTTATAAAAGTAACAACAACAGTGAAATATTTCTTTTAGTCAGAAAACCTTTAAGTAGATGGGGTCTCATAGCTCCATTACATCAAGAAAAACAGTGCACATAGTTTATTGATCAAGCTGCTTTACATGTAAAAAGTACGACGCTTGTTTTCTAACTTTAACTATATCAAACTATCTCCGTTTCCCTGAAAAGGGTTACGCACTGAATTAATAATGATATACAGTTATATATTTATAATAATATGTATGTTTTTCTGTATACGTGCATGTATACATATATCACACAAAACATTAGTATACGATATACATGTACACTATATTCACATTGCATTATAATATGAAGCAGGAGACACCGGCATCTGTGGTGTAGCAGTCAGACGCTCCGTCGTCGCTTGCAGAACACCCAAGATCGAAACCCGTAGCGGGGAAAAAGGGGAGGGGGGTATCGAGTGTCTGAGCCTTTCTGCAGAAACGTTCTAACCTGGGTTGGACCTGGCAGGTAGAGTTGAAACCCGCCTCCTGAATGATCTCAATTGTGTCGATGGGGACGTAATTGCCATATTCATATTCAAAAAAGCAGTAAGATATTGTGGGCTCAAACACAGTGGAGAAGCACACAAGTTAAGACAAAGGACTATTCTCTCTCGTTGGTTTAGTGATGTCTCCCTGTGTCATCTCGACCTCCAGCTGACTTCGAGCGTGTAGCGTGTCCTCCAGTCCAAGGTCCTTCGTTTCTGGCATAGACAGGATCAGGCAGCAGTTAATGATAGCCAGGATGCCCATAACCAGGTAGGAGATATACAAAATACTGAAATCTCGCGGGATGAGGAAAGGGGAAAGGATGCTGCCGAACCTTGCTGCGCTAAAAATGAAGCCGAAACTGAGCAGGCGAACGGGGGTTGGGAACAGTTCGGCGATAAAGGCGGTCAAGATGCTCCAGGCGTAATCAAGCAAGGCTGAGGTGGCCAGTGCTAGCCCTGTGATGACATAACCTTGCACCTGGCCGCTTGTTGTGAAGAACACAACGATCACGGAAGAAGAGACGAGTCCGCAGGAGAACATGAGAACAGTTGATCCCCATCTCCTTCCGAGTTTGTGTCCCAGGACAGGAGCTAAAGGGGCTAAAGGCAAAGGAAATACCGTATATAGAATGAAATTAATATAAAAGTCCCCATACAGGGCTTTGATTCCAAATCCAATTGAATAATACATGATGGCCATAAAGAAATATATAGCGCTGCAAACTATTGTCTTTTTACGAAGGTCACTACGAAAAAGCTGTCGGATTGCTACTTTTTTGTCGTCTTGCTGCCCTTCACAATTTGTGAACGCCGTCAAATGGGGATCCGGCTCAGAACGTCCGTTCACACGACAGAACATGTTTGCCACTTTTTTTGTCTCTTTTACTTTTCCCTGTACGACCAACCAACGCAGGCTCTCTGGCACCCAGAAGACACTGAGAAAAGCAAAGGCTCCCAGAACGGCCGTGGCGACGTGGGCGTCTCTCCAGTCTTTCAGCAGGAAAACGCAGATGCCAAAAGAAATGGAGCCGACGTTCCAAGTGGGGAGACCAGTGAGGAAAACTCTCCACTTCGCCGTCACGAATTCCAGAGCGTATACCTGACAGGTGGACAGATTGCCACCCACGCTCATCCCGATGACGAAACGGACAGCAGTGTATACCTCCCAGTTGGGAGAAAAAAGTGCTACAACGTTAGAAACTACTCCTAGTACAACCCACAGGTACATGCTCAATTTTCTTCCGAAACGCTCAGCCAACTGGCCTGCTATGAAAGAACCTATGGTAACTCCGACCATCTGAATGGAAATGGTGATTGGAGCAAGCCACGATCTGTCGCAGATGAGGTACCACTCGGACACAATAGTGGCTGAGTCAGGGTCAAATCTGACGTCCTGGCAAGACTGGGCCTCTTGACACTTTTCTTGCTCTGACATGCTCATATTATAGGTAGATACAGAGGAGTTGGGGCCGAGAATCCCAAGCGTTGTTGAGTTCAGGTATGGTGGTTCACTCAAGGCAGTGACTGTGTCGTTGACTGAAAATAAAGCGTAATACAATTTCTCAAAACTTTTCAATATTAAACAACATTATAAACGATACTGGTACCCTTTTCAAGACTTTTACATTCCAGGTAAGTGGGAGGGAGCATACATACGAGATCTACAGATTTGTTTGACAGCATATCCTACCCCTAAGATGCATTTTATCCAAGACACAGAGAAGTAATTTTTGCCACACTTTGTCTGACTTAATGGTACCAGAGGCCGAAAGGTTATTCATCCCAAACTTAAACAGATGATGTCAGCCAATGTCGGTAAGCAGCTTTTAGCCGGGTGGTCACGGAATGAGTCCTTGAGCAAAACACGATACCCTAGCTAGGAAAACAATGAGCTGCTCAGTGGAGACCACATAGCCTGTTTATTAAATGGCCTGTATTGGTGACGATGTCACCTTTGAATGAAACATTTAATACGTACATTGTACTTGCCATAGTAAACCAAATTTCCCCATGGAGAGTCAATTACAGGTGTGTGTATTTCATTGTATCCTTTCTATTTGCCCGGTACAGGTGACCTTAACATATTATGTCACACCCTCTGGAGTACGTATCTTGGGATGTCTCTAGACTTTTAACAAGACTGCATTTTACATATGTCATAGGCTGTTTCCATACCCTCCACATATTTCTTGCTGAGCTCTGAGTCACCCCCTCACTTCTTAAAAACAGCTGAGGATTAAGGAAGGAACATATTTTTCAATCCCCTGAAAGAGTAACGTTTAATGGGGCGACACAATACTTAAGAATCAATGCTCTAATGGGCATCTATCTATCGTGTATATATATATATATATATATATATATATATATATATATATATATTACCTTTGAGATCCATGCACGTCCATCCTGGGTTGTAAGAGCCAAATGACATAAAAAGCATGCCCCAGGCGCCGACCACTTTAATGGTGTACACTGCCAGAGAGAGCAGAACCTGGAACATCCCACAGCCACCCACTTCCGAGATGAACTTGTCCAGTTTCCCATCCATGATCATGGAAAGTCTGAAAACGAAATCAGAAGAAATGTCAGATAACTACATTTTGGGTGAACTGATTGGTGGGGGTTTTTTGTTTGTTTTTTTTTTTTTTTTTTTTTTTTTTGGGGGGGGGGGGGAGTTTTCTGTTTATGGGTACCATGAAGTTGCAGTGGGGTAGGGTGGGGACGGGGGAGCGTATTTTGTCGATTGCGGTTGGGGATTCTGTTCGAAGGTTGTCGATGGACGTAGACTGGAATGTTTCCTTGAACAACAGAATCAAATCCTGGCTCCCAAACAGGATGCTACTCTGGAGGGACCAGCAGTGAACCCGTGACGTTTGGCATCGTGTATAATATATTATGGCTATTATTATGTTTTAATGTAAGCCTCCATCGACACAATTTAGATCAGGCTGAGAGGGATGCAACATCCCAGCACAAAAACCGAACTACTATATGAACTATGTCTCTCCATTCGGGAATCGAACTCGGGTCTCCTGCAAGCGACAGCGACGCGCCTAACTGCTACACCACAGACGCCGGCGTTGGTGTTCTGTCATTATAAATAATTGGCATATGAAAGAAGGTTTTAACTCTTATAATTTATTTAAAGACCAGACATACTATCAATACTAATCTCATGTCAGCTTCTAACTATGTGTTCAATTGGAGTATCAGTAGAAGCACCATGAGTTGTCCACCTGTCTTGCATGTAAAATAGTATTCCAAGCATACCAAACGAAGTAAAGTAAAAAAAAAAAAAAAAAAAATTTTTTTTATTTTAAGAACGAAATTAAAATAGTAATAATTGCAACAACACAGTTTCATTGACTCCTGACAGAAAACAAAGTTTAACTTTAACATCATTACGGTTATGGAAGGAAATATGTAGATAAATCATCAAACAATAACGTTATACCCCCCCCCCCCCTTTCCTTTCCCACCACCACTCAAAGCCCGTATGCCAAACTAAAATTGAAACCAGGCTTTAGACACCATCAATCATAATGGGTCAGCTCAATAAAAATTTTGGGAATCGAACCTGCTTCCTTTTGGTGCATAACAAGTGTTGAGCCAAAAAAATATTTAAAATTTGACGAGCGCGTGATTTCCCCACGGTGCCTCACATAATATTATAATAGTATGTACTGCATACTTATGGGTGACGAGAAAAACCTATGATAATGTAGGCTTTCTTTTTAGAAAACCCGAGCAAAGAAATTAGTGGCGAACCATGCTCACCAATATCTGATGGTGATGATTATGATGCATAAATAAAGTGTTCCTCACAAGAAAAGATTAATGCAGTGCATTATGTGGGTCTGTTAACATTTTGATAAAAGTGTATCTATTCTTGCCCGCATCTACACAATGACTTATCGTAACAAGAGGTGCTTCCATCCCCCACACCACCTGTTATGCCACAGTTATGCCACTTTCAGAGCCTACTGATGGGCCCAAAGCTATACGTTCTTATTATGCTACTCTGACCATCTAGGCCCAAAGGTATGCATGTGCTCTTTGGAACCTTTCCCAGGTACAACAGCAGAGGGCTGACAGAACAGTTATTAAGCTAAGAGTATGGTGAATCCTGTAGAAGTCTAGAGGGATTACTTTAGACAGTTTTTCTTTCTCCAGGAAACATGACAAAGAGAGAACAGCAACAGGCAATTTCATGCAAGACCAGACTCCTTCTTTCCTATCAAACATCTATCGTCCTTCTTTCTCCTTCTCCTTTTTTGTGTTTGTTACTCTCTTGTAACAAGTCTAATTTTCATTACTTATATGCCCTAGTTGTGTTGCAAGTGCTGTAAAACTCGTGCGACTAAAATTACAAAACTAGTTGTAGCCCAGCGAAAGGGCTACGAAAACCGTTTCCCACCAGAGACGGATGCAAAAATGTTGCTATTAGTGAAAAGAACATCCGGGGTAGAGCAACCTGACTAGATCTACATGGAATGTACAATAAAAATGTATTCAGTCAGGAACGCTGTAAGAATTTAGCCGTGAAGTGAACAGAGGAGATAATAAAAGCTGGAAAGTGCATTCTCTGTTACCTGGCTAGAAACTCGACACAGAGCAGTGTTTATGTACTACAAGCTGCAAGACAGTAACCGCCGACAGGGCATCAAGACTTGAAATCATTTCAGGAAAAGTTCATGCAACCACCGCTCTAACCTTCTAGTGAAGACTATTCGGATGGACGAGGACATCCTCATGAAGTATTACATCCCTTTACTTTGTAGACGTCCATCTCTATGTAAACTTGTCAAAAATAGTATCTGACTTCAGAGCAACAGGGCAAAACGGGGGTATTTACAATGTAAATTGCTATGATACCAATTCTGGCTGAGAAGAGACCTAAACAGCCCAGAGAGTTTATATTTGCCTTTTTGAGAACATCGGTGCCGTTACATTCCAAGAATTCTACTGAGGACTGGGGCATTTCATGTGGAAATGATTAGGCTTCTTGCTATACCTTTGGTACACTGTTCAGGTCCCCACACCACACAAAAAAAGTTGGGAGGACAGTATTATTGTTTCTAAACTGCCGGCTAAACAGAAGAAAAACTTGTTTAAAGGCTATGTTCAAGGTAGATTTTTGTATATTAGTAGGCCTATGTTTTGCAGCCAATACCACTTGCTGTTATGAAATGTTCAAGAACGTGCGCTAAAATTATGGCATACAAAATTTTAATGCGGTGAAAGAAGCGGGTGAACTGTCAGGAAATATGTAAAGTGTACTTGATAAGTCACTCACCGAACCCAATTTAGTCAAAGAATGCACTGAATGGAAGCATACACAGACCTGGAAATTTATCTTAACGAGTGGTTAAAACAATTTATATTGCACGCTTTAAGTTCACCAGTTGTCCCAAATCGCTGTGTATTAAGAAAATCGGTAAGCATACTCTTGTTCTTGACTCACTCGTACATACAATCTTCTGCTTAGCAAACCTCTTACCTGAGAGAACCTGACACAGAAAAATAACATAACATGCAGAAAAAAAAGAGTTTCAGACTTCAGCGGGAGCGTTGTGAAACTGAGCGTAAAAAAGGTTGCTAAAGAGAATAGCTACACTGCAGAGTACGCTCATAGAGTGCCAGAATCTAGACAAGAACTGGCACATGGCGGGAATTCGAACACAGGGACGCACACAGCGTAAAACACGCTTAATTAAAAAAAGGGGAAAAATTTAATGCGGTGAGCACCAACCGGCTGGAAACTGGTTCACAGTGCGCAGTGGGAACAGGGACAGACGGGGCAACGAATTGCGTTTAAATTAATATTGATAAACCAAAAGAAAATTTACTTTTCAGCCATATCATGTTCTTTTTTTTTCAGAGCAGTAGTTGGTATTTCTGTCTATAACGAGTAATTTTCAATAGTTGTGGATACAGTGATTATTATAGCAATACTATTTGAACATTACAGGTAAGTGGATTTCCCAATATCTGCGCCTTGTCTGCTTTTATTGATCAAAATTTTTCTTCTGTTCTGTTTTTTCCCAGACGTGTACCCAGTAAGCATTTGGTCACTGTATAGATATGGGCAAAGGAGAAAGAGCACATTCTGTCTGGTATTCCTTTCTGTTGTCCTCGTACCGCCAGCTGGAATGTCATAACAATGTTGATTTTCTCATGTCGGCCTGCAGGCCTATTGTACAACTCAACGATACCAGGGAGATGGGGAGTCTGACTAGCTTATAAAAATAGGGACACAGGCGTGTGGCCATGGTCGTATTCACTTTGAAAAAAAAACCACATGACGTAGGCCTAGATCTATTTTGTTTTCTCGTTTGGTTGTTTGTTTTTATTTGGGGTTTTTGTTGCTGTTTGTTGTGTTTTATTTTGTTTTGTTTTATTTGGGGGGTCTTGTTTTTGTTTTTATTTTGGCTTCTGGTTTAAATTTTGTTTTTGTTTTGTTTATTTTTTGCTTGCTTCATTCTTTGACCTTTATACCAGAAGAGAAGTGTTATGACATCTTGATGGGTTTTTTAAAGTTGGATTATACGCAAGACAACAGACAATGATAAACAAGTTTTAAAAAATACATAGAATCCTCACTTTATATCAGAAGGAAATTATTTCTGTTAGAAAGGATGATTCTATATTTGGCGGAACGGACTGGAAACTACATGTATATTCCACAACATGAAGGACACTTCAAATATCAATCCGGAATACCCAAGAAATACAGTCTGATATTCTTAGCATTCCAGTTTGCGCCTCACTCTCCACAATTGCAGTAGCCTCTTGGCCTACCAGTAACTGCTTACTTTGTTATTACTCACTACTGTCTTTTTTTAGGGTGATAAATGCCAGGGGGAAAGATATTTAACATAAAGGGAAGAAACTACGAATACCTTTTTTTTTTTTTTTTTTTGTTTCTTGTTACGCTACATTATTGTTATTCGTGTCTTATAATTGATTTATGAGGGCGAGTTGTCAGATTTGTCATACTTAGCTACGAATGACCGACAGCAAGTCTGAAGACGTAAATAATTTGGAAATTAGATCCAATGGCCGCACTCAGAGATTTCTATCACTGGACATAACAGTAGCGACCCATTGAATTCTGGATGAATCATTAATGGTAGGCAAGACGGTATAACCTTTGTTAAAAACATTTTTCATTAAAACCATTCACAAGGCTTAATGTGTAGCTCTATTTAATGCTCTAAATGTAAAACATGGCTTCCGTTACATTTGGCAAGCTTTATGCTCCCGTTGGCTGTTACTTCCTTTCAAAACAAGGTGATTTGTTAAACTACAGTTGTAGTACCAATTTAGAATTCATTCCAGATTTTCGCTAAGCCAAAACTCTGGAAGAAGAAGAAGAAGAAGAAGAAGAAGAAGAAGAAGAAGAAGAAGAAGAAGAAGAAGAAGAAGAAGAAGAAGAAGAAGAAGAAGAAGAAGAAGAAGAAGAAGAAGAAGAAGAAGAAGAAGAAGAAGAAGAAGAAGAAGAAGAAGAAGAAGAAGAAGAAGAAGAAGAAGAAGAAGAAGAAGAAGAAGAAGAAGAAGAAGAAGAAGAAGAAGAAGAAGAAGAAAGAAGAAGAAGAAGAAAAAGACATTACATAGAGGAGGAGGAGGAGGAGGAGGAGGAGGAGGAGGAGGAGGAGGAGGAAAGAAGAAGAAGAAGAAAAAGACATTACATAGAGTTTGAACAATATTCAATTTATGTCAATAGATTCGAAGAGGATTGGAAATGGGTGGAGTGACGCTGTTTGTCAAGACTTTAGCAGAAATAGTTCCGACTTTTCTCTGTGTTTCTGCAAAACTGAAAGAGGAATTAATTGTCTTTTATTTTAGATTCCACGAAAACGCCCTACTTGGGTTGTTACAGAAGGGCTGTGTGTTTTCAAGTGTCCTACAAATCAATTATCATACATGCTGTATTTTCTGTTGAGATAAAAGAAGAAGAAAAGATGTATGCTTTCCTGCCGATTGGTCCCTTTTCAGCCAGCCACGAGAAACGCTTCCGGAGTTCTGTAAATGCGACACCACCGAGGTCTTTATCTGGATCATTTATAAGGTCTATGAACGCGCATCTCATTAGCCCCTCGTGGCTAGTCGCTTGGATTTAGATGTTCTCTTTTTGATCCACGGGACTTGAGTCTAGCAGTCTTTCAAATAGTTCTAAAGAGGTAGCATGTGTGTCTCAGGCAACCAGATTTAGAATAATAAGAGACCATCCTGTGGTGATAATGGCGCGTTCAAGAGAAATATCTGTTGTGAAAACAACAGGGAAAAATAATTTTGTGGAAAATGACAATACAGACGAAACTAACCATTTCTGTCCTCTCCGAGAAGAGATTTGTGAAGAGACAGAGCCAGTTGTTGTTTATGAAGACACAGACCACGACAAATCACTTGTCTACAATGTGTCCGATAATCCGCCGTTCCATCTACTTATCGTGTTTGCTATGCAGGTAAAGGCTTGCGTTTGTGATGGGCGTTCCAAAATGTCCTTATAAAATACAAAATCAGTTACTGTAGAGAATGATTTGTCCTTCTGCTGATTTGTTGAAAAGCAGGTACACTTTTGATCACACAAAAAGGGGGAGAGGCGCTTTCTATTCTAGCCACGTCCAACCTTATCCTCTACATAATCGTTATCACAGCCAGATGCCCTCGTTTTATTGTTCGCCATGCATGTACAATATCAGACTTGGAGAGACTTCAAATAACAGAACAGGAGGAACCCAAGACTTACACAACCCATAGGGTTGTTGTTGTTTATTTGTTTGTTTTTTGTTAACTACATTTAACCTAGCGTCTTGATTTTTCACGGGAGATTATGATTTTTATCTCAGGTTTGGGAGTGCGAGATTTCAGTTATATTGGTTATAATAAGTTCAGTTTTCTAGCTCTTATTGAAAAATATTCCCACGGACGTTTATCCTGGATGGGGAACAACTAATGCTCATCTTTCAAATTGGCTACATTAAGTATAGACAGGCGTATTAATGTGGCTCACAGGACCAGGTTCAAACCTTAACTGAAAACAATCACGCATCTTAGATGCAGTTGTAAGAGCATTTAAAGGCTCCTCTTTCAACGGAAATTCAGTTTCCAAACAGACCCATACAAACATTGTACTAAAGTCACTTATAATTGGCATTTTCAAGGTACTGTAGTTGAAACAGGAAAACTGCAGAATTATGGCATGTGTTCGAATGTATCACCAGTCTTAATTATTTGTATGTACCTTTGCAGTACCTCTTGAAGCTTAAAAATTTAGGTCTTTTATTGATGAATAATTTTTTACGCTGATATTTCGGACGACTACCCGGAATCATCATCATCATCATCATCATCATCATCATCGTCGTCATCATCATCATCATCATCATCATCATCATCATCATCATCATCATCACACTGTCGTCGTCGTCGTCGTTGTCACCATCACCATCATCATCACCACCGCCACCTATGCAAAAATGCTTTTGTCTATAACCATCAACTGCCCCTTCCCCTATCCTATCCCCTTTTTCTCCGACACCCTGCACCCCTTAACAACCCCCGCACCCCCCCCCCTTCTGACATTTTGTACAGCAATGCCTGTTGTGCATCGCATCCCCTCTGAGCAAGGCTGTCATCGTGTCTGAGATCGTGTGCGCCACACAAGAGGAGTCTATCAAGGCACACCTGCTGAGTGCCACCATGTTGATGACGGGACTAGCCACCTTCCTCATGCCCACGATAGGAGTTAGGTCAGTGGAAGAGTTGAGAGGTTACATAAATTAGACGACTTGCTCAATCGACAATCAGTCAGTCTGTAAATCTGTTAACTAACAACACTGAAACGTCTAAAGGTTCAAGACAGGTAGCCATCTCCCTCCTGCCTACAGTAAGACTCGGGCCAGTAACTTTGCTCGAACCTATACTGTAATATTATATCTGCTTGATTATAATTATGCTCGTATTCTTTGGGCTTTTGTCAGCTGACTAACACTAAAAGTAGAAAAGTTTTTCTATGATTGCGTTTGTGTTGGGACCAATTACCCTCTTCTTGCCCACCTATATTAATTTGAAGCCTTGAAAATGTATCTATCTATCTATCTATCTATCTATCTATCTATCTATCTATCTATCTATCTATCTATCTATCTATCTATCTATCTATCTATCTATCTATCTATCTATCTTTGTGAATGTGTGTGTTTGTGTGTGTGTGTGTGTGTGTGTGTGTGTGTGTGTGTGTGTGTGTGTGCATGCACCATCCAGAGAGAGAGAGAGAGAGAGAGAGAGAGAGAGAGAGAGAGAGAGAGAGAGAGAGAGAGAGAGAGAGAGAGAGAGAGAGAGAGAGAGAGAGAGAGAGAGAGAGAGGTTGAGAGAAGGGGAATATATTATAACCTGAAAAACAACGAGATTCTGTCTATCTGTTTGACAAATCTATGTACATTGTATTCTTAAAGAACTAAGTTGAGCAAAAGGTGTCTTTCTTGGTGCTGATTAAACCTTTTCCTTGACGACCTGAGACAATTTTGATCTCATTAACATCTTTGAAACAAAGGATGAACACAAGCTCAGAGCGAGAGCACAAAGGTCGTGGTTTTTTGGGGGGTTAAATTACAGTGACGTATTCCGGTCAGCGACAAAATCTTCTCCAACAGAAGTCCGTGATGGAGCGTACCAATTTCTACATTCGCAAAAACGGACTGCCTTAAGTATAACAGAGGGTATAACGCCAGCCAGCGAATTTCTTTAGTGGGATCTTCACTTACATCTTCACAGAAAGACCATTATTCTTACCTGTTCCAGTCGATTGATGGTTGTTGGCTTGATGGGTCGTTAGCAATCTGGCCAGTTTCATTTTGCCCTTTACTTAATATTCATCTGAAAGTGCCCTTTCCTCTCTTTCAACTTGCTTCGTTTATTCTAATTTTGTTGAAATTCTAGCAAAGGCCTCATTTTTTATCTCAAAACTCTAATATTATTTTTTTTAAACATCATCTTTCAGCGCTCTATAATTTAGTCATAAATCTTGAAATAACAGGAACTATAAATTTTGTAAATACAACTGACAGAGTTGGAGCTGCTCTGCTCCTGGTTGGTTTCTGATGATGACGTTGCATGCCGGTAAGTGAGATCGGTGGTTTAATGCTCCTCTCGGGCTAGTAAACGAAACGTCATGGTTTCGAAGGTACCAGGGCCCCTACGTTGTGTTCTCGGGAAAGGCATTTCGCACACATTTTCCTTAATTCACCCAGGTGGGAATCGGTACCCTGCTAAAGACAGCAAAAGATCTTGTCATTATTTTTAGAACGCTATACCGGCTGCTTGCCTGGTTTCTAAGTATTCTAGCATTTGCTGGGGTAATAATAGTTGTAAAGCGCATGAAGTATGTTTTATATTTAGTAGAGGTTTTACAGCGCTCGAAACTGCATACGGTCAAATGAGCGCCAAGGGGTGGATGTCAACAGAGAAGTCCTTACAGGGAATCAGACTTACTCTGCTCACCTCTCTAAAGCCCCCCCCCCCCCCCCCCCTTTGGGAATGGCCTAAAGACACTTCAGTCAGTAGTACCGGGGGGTCGCATGGAGTATGCTGTAGAGTATAGAGCCTTGGTAAGCGCAACATAAATGCAAAAATAATTAATAATAATAATCTTTATTATTACTATTATTATTATTATTATTATTATTATTATTATTATTATTATTATTATTATTGTTGTTGTTGTTGTTGTTGTTGTTGCTGATGCTGATGCTACTACTGCTGCTATTGTTGCTGTTTTTTTGTATGTATGTGTGTGGTAGCCTATCCGTTCGAAATGTTTAGAGCCACGAAGAGCGTGCTCTTCGCCAAGGCCACAGCCTCTCTTGGGTAGCGGGTGAGGCAGTCCAACCTCCCTGAATCCTCCCCAAAGAGATGCCACTGCTGGACATCAGTGGCGGGCATCTCTGCGGCCAGTGCTCCAAATCTCGGGGCTCCTCGCTGCACAATGGACAGATTGGGTCCGATTTTTGTCTATTCTATTATTGTAGGCCCGCAGCCCAGAAACGTGACCAGTCCTGATTTTTGCCAGTAGTGACTGGTCACTGCGGGACTTAATTTGAGCCTCTAGTTTTAAGGAAATTGCCCTGTATATTTCCTTTGTCTGCGAGTGGGATATCGGAGGGTCTTTTGTGATCCGTTTTATCTGGGCGCACGCACTTGCAATACTCAGCTGGCACTCAACTGGCACTCTCAGACCCATAGGGAGCTACCGCAATCAACACTGTTGTTCTTGTTGCTATCGTTGTTGTTATTGTTGTTGTTGTTGTTGTTGTTGTTGTTGTTGTTGTTGTTGTTGTTATCAAATACGCACAAATGTGCTTGGAAAACCCGTAAAGGATTTTCAAACTCAACTTCTCTTTCTCAGGTTACCAATTTTCCAGGGACCGGCGTCTTCCTACATAATTCCTTTACTCAGTCTTCAAGGTCTGGACGAGTGGAAGTGCCCGGATGTTGTTGCCGGTAGGTTGATTTGAGCAGATGGTGCATACTTGTGAGACTACGTCACTATTCAACAGGTTCGACAAGATGTTGAGGAGAAAACTGGCCAAATTTTGTATTTCACTTTATCTATGGCTGTCTGGCATCATACAACCCAACGGACAAGTGCGCGCTCAACGCTTTTTTTAATATTGAGAACTGCCTTCACTGTTTTATTTTTATGGTCCCCTCTTGTCATCGAAACCTTGAGTGTTCATTCCGTATGTTGTTGGGTTTTTTTTAATCTTTTAAAAGGACTACTTTGTGATTTCATAAGTCTGGGCTATAACAAGTTTGCGGAGGTGGAAAGGGAGGTGGGTGGGTGTTAATATATTTAAAATATGTAAATAGGTAGCCCACAGCAAAACGACACCACTGATTGCTGATTGATTTCAAAGCTATGATTTTTGTAACAAACAGTGACATAAACTATCTCTTCAGGCATTGATCCCATCACTAATGAGACTGTCAGCTATGCTCTTATCGGGAATGGAACAGTTGTCCCTACGAAGGAATTGATCTTCTCAAAAATACAAGAGGTGAAGTTTCTCATAAAGCCAGCTGTTATTGTGTCTGATTCACTTCCGTCTTTTGGATTAAGTGTGTTCGCATCATACTTAATTGACTATGCACATGTGCATCACGCATTTATTAATATTAATGACTTGTTGCTCTCGCATTTCGTCCTCTTGACATGATAGTCTTTGGGACCATAGTTCTCTCATCACGTCTTGGAAAGCAATGGACTTGAGATCGATACCTCTGTGAAAACAATTTATTACCTGCAACTTCATCTTTGTACTCGGGAGTATCCTACATAACTTGAGTGGCTTCTGACAAACACTCCACTAGAAATTTCAAAACTGCAATCCGAGTTGATTCCCAAACATCCTTATGATTGGCTATTCGGTATCTGGGCTATCTTTACGTAGCCATATATAAATAAATAAATTATATATTTTATATATATATATATATATATATATATATATATATATATATATATATATATATATATGTGTGTGTGTGTGTGTGTGTGTGTGTGTGTGTGTGTGTGTGTGTGTGTGTGTGTGTGTGTGTGTGTGTGTGTGTGTGTGTGTATACATGTATGTATGTATATCTTACTTTTTTCTGTCTGGTTTTTTTTCAGCTGTCTGGAAGTCTGGTACTTGCTGGGTTTTTGCACTTTCTCATCGGGTTGACTGGTTTTGTAGGAATCATAGTCAGGTAGGATATGTACTTCGAGTCATGTAGGGAAATTGCAATGGACCTGATGAGACATTTACCCAAATAGAAGTACCGCTAGGCTAAGAACTGAGTCAAGGAAGCTGAGGATGGGGGGGGGGAGAAAGAGAGAGAATGAGAGAGAGAGAGGAGGGGAGGGAGAGGGAGAGAGAGAGAGAGAGAGAGAGAGAGAGAGAGAATTAAGCTGAAGCGTCCTGGTCTACTTTCATGAGGTTGTGAGATGATAGGTGCGACAGAAACGTCCATCATGATGGGTTGTTTATTTTCATCTTAAAAGATCTCGTGGCAACTTTCCTGGGGAGGGGAGGGGGGTTGCCACCCATTCCATGTTTAATGCATAGGTGCCATTTTCATGACTGCTGTGCGTTCCATTTAAGGACCTACCCCTAATCTAGAACTGTCTTTACATATTCTGGACCCCGCTGTTCAGTCGGCTGCAAGTGAGTACTTCGCGTCCGTTTTGAGAGGAAACAACATGTTAAAGTAAATGATAGTGTTTGGTTGCACCATGTTGAACACCGACCTCAATGAGAAGGTAAAGTAACAAACCTGCCAATGGAACTGTTATGAAATTATGTCTTTGGTTTGAGATTTAAAACAATAGACATGCACTGTGATTTTGGGGCATCGTATTTCCCTGCAATTACGTCCTGTTTGTAAAGGTTTTTGACAGTCTGAAGAGTTATTATAATAATATAACAAATTTCGTTTCCGTCTGATATTGCATATTTCCTTTTTTTATTTCTTTTTCTATAGTTGTACGAATTGTACATGTATATGAATACACATGTTTTGCTATTGCCAGGTACGTGGGTCCTGTCACGATCGTGCCAACAATTGTTCTCATGGGCCTCCAGATGGTGTCCGTTGTGCTGAAATTTTCTGAAACGTGTTGGCTCGTAGCTTTCATGTAAGTACAGTGTAATCGATCTTCTAGTCTTCTACCGCAGGGCTGTTCTTTCACTCCTAAAAAATGCATTTGGCAACATTTACATTATTAGATGTCCTTAACTTGTACACAAAAGGTAGAAGCATGATTGTCCTAAAAGAAGTTTCGTTTGATAAACACTTTCATCAGTGCATGTGAACTCACGGTTTTCAAGACGATTTTTCTATAGAGTCAGTGGTCCGTCTTATAGTCTTATTTAAAGGGAGGTCCTTATTTTTGTGACTCAAACTATCAAAATCTCTCTACTAATGTATTGGCAGAGTGACTTGCATATATAGAAATTCAAGACTATACGCCAAAACATACCCAGCTCTTGGGTTACTCGTTTTATACGTGCTGCGGGTCTTTAAATATTTTTTTAAAGATCAATAATATATTTGTCTTTCTGCTGAAACGTTGTATCCCTCTAGACAGCCGTGGTTGGCCCTGACGCAGGGTCGAAGCAGCCCACCTCCTAAAAGTCTAAACAGTGTCGATGGGGACGTGAAGCATCTACAACTAGAAGTGTGCACTGCTCCAGAATGGTGAAGTTTTGAGAAAAATCATCTTCACCCCGCCTCAACTAAGAGCACTAGGTGTAGCCATCATTAAATTTCGAATAATTATGAATAATCAAGTGCCCAAACCTCCGCAGCACAGCGTTGGCCAGTCTGATACTATCTGTGTACATGAGCAACAAGAAGACTCCCATACCCTTCTGGACACGTAGCCGGGGCTTACACATCTTCTGGTACCCGCTTCATCAAGTGTTTGCGGTGAGACGTGTGTGTGTGTGTGTGTGTGTGTGTGTGTGTGTGCGTGTGTGTGTGTGTGTGTGTGTGTGTGTGTGTGTGTGTGTGTGTGTGTGTGTTTAAGGAAGAAGGTGAAATTTATGTAGTAAATCCCATTTCTGCGAAATGTGGCTTGTCACTTTGTTAGTTTGTATTAGGTGGCAGAGTAAGTTCTACACCCACGTACATTTCTTAAAGAAATAGGTTTTCATAACATAATCTATCTCTCTCTCTCTCTCTCTCTCTCTCTCTCTCTCTCTCTCTCTCCCTCCCCCCCCTCTCTCTCTCTCTCCCTCCCTCCCTCTCTCTCTCTCTCCCTCCCTCCCTCCTCTCTCTCTATCTATCTCTCTCTCTTTCTCTCTCTCTCACACACACACTCACACGCACGCACACACACTCACGCGCTCACGCACGCACAAAAACACGTCAAAACAGATTCACATACTTCAGACAAACAATACTCCCCAGATCCTGATCAGCATGCTGTTAGGCTGGGCTTTGAGCGCCTTGCTCACGGAGACAGGATGGCTGTCTGATGACCCCAAAAGCAAAAACTTCTTTGCACGAACAGATACCAGGGTGCACGTGATCGAGGAGAGCAACTGGTTCGTCTTGCCGTACCCAGGTGAAGCATACAGAGCTTCGGGCTTGGTGGGTGCGCACAGACCAACTTTAGCTGCCCAACAGTATTATAACAGTCTTCTGTGCGTGATTCGTTCCAGTGTACTGTGTAACACAGACGGTTTGAGTAGCAGTTGTCAGCATGTTGGAACAGAACACAAACTTTTCAGTCGTCGTAAACCAGAGTTGCCTGTGCGAGCGGGGCTTCTTTAGTTTATTTCATTGTTTACACTTGGGCGACTAAAACTGTTGAATGAGCTCTCGTGGCCTAGAGGTTAAGGTGTTTGCCTCTTTTTCAAAGGTCCCGGTTCGAATCCGGGTCGCAACGGAAAATTGTCTTCTCTAGAACTGTCTCCTTTCACCTCCTTTCCTGCTCTCTAGCAATTTTCTGTCGTCTGCTTTCGTCTCCACTTTCTGCCTCCACTCCATCACCTCCTTTGCCCCCTCCTCCTGGCTCCTGACTCTTTCTGCAGCCTTTCTACTGCTACTCCTTGGCTCCTTCTTACTGCTGTCTTTCAGCCACACTCCCTGATCTTTTGGTAGGAAAGATCTACACCTAGCCTTAATCTCGGACAAGGCAAAAAAATCTTGCAGGTCCAATGTGCAAGTTACGCACGTTACAGATCCCTTGGTGGTCTAAAATCGATAAGAGTAGACTTCGGTAAAATTCAAAATTTCCTACTAACTGAAAAGGTTTGGTGTGTGATATGAAAAAAAAAGATGCATAACTTTGGAATTCAAGTAGATTTTTTCAATTCTAATTTGTTTATCTGGAAGTTAAAAAGGCAGGCAACATCGTGCATGCTATGACATATGCAAATGCATGCTTCTGATTTATGCATGATGGACGCGCTGCAACATTACTTCAGATCTGTCGCTGGTCACACAGGGTAAGAGATCAAGGGGAAGACCGCGTGGAACCTGGGGAAGAATCACAGAAATTGATGTACAGAGAAGTGGGAAGACATTGAATAACATTTAGAGGCTAGCCCAGGATAGAGAAAGGTGGAAGGTGTTTGTCCGTGGCCTATACCCTGGTGCAGGGAGAGAAAGGCAATGATGATGATGTCGCTGGTCAGACACACGTGACCGTTCCGTCCTCAAGGGATCAAATTTCAATAACAAAAAAAATATGCGGGCGAATGACACCTCCTACCTTGGGAGGGGGGGGGGCGGACGAAAGAATGAAAGAATCAAGAAAAGGAATCAAGAACGAAAAAGAAAGATAGGAGAAGAAAGAAAGAAAGAAAGAAAGAAAGAAAGAAGGAAAGAAAGAAAGAACGAAAGAAAGAATGAAAGAAAGAACGAAAGAAAGAAAGAAAGAAAGAAAGAAAGAAAGAAAGAAAGAAAGAAAGAAAGAAAGAAAGAAAGATGAGAACCATTTGGATTAAATTAGAGTACCAGTATGTTTAGTACAGTTTAAGTTTTTACTCCAAGATTGGCGTCTGTAACAGCTTAGCATTGCATACATCGGAGACCAG